AATCATTGTTCCACTATCAATTTGTTTGAGAAATTAAGCTGTTAACATAATAATATCGATCGAAGGGAAATATAGCGCTTATATGGGCGACAAGTTGACGCGATAAAAAAATCGGCGACAACTTACTCTATTAATGCTTTGCTATAGAAAAAAATCACTTGCAGAAACTATGAAAGAGGCGCATTAGTGAAATGACCCATAAAATTTTCATCAAATATGGGTGCTCATTCAAGCATGCTTACACAAACGTATTCCTTAAACATGCTACACACATACACGGATATATATATAAGTTGTTATATTTTTTCAATTGTGCGTCTCAATAGCGATAACTAATATCAATAAATTAAATAATCGTTCATAACGCTTACTTTTCCATGCATCTGTGAAAAACTATAGTTTCGTCTCGTTTCTGTCTCTCAGTAACACTGCCATTTCTAACATATATACAATATCGCTAATATGGTTGAATCGAGTTTTGCATCACCTTCTCTATTGGCTCTTAGCTCTTCTCGCGGTAGTCCTCAATTAGCTATAAAATGAAGACCGAACTGACCTAAAAGCATCTTGTACCTACTTTTTCTTCGTATCCAAACTTTGATACATTAGGCACCGGCCACCAAAAGCCGGTAAATGGAACCGCTATCAACCATACCGGGCTAATTAATTGCAAAGCTTTTCACTCGATAAGCCTGGCCCTAAAAATCAGCTTTGATGTCTCCACAAGCAAGGACTGGGGATTAAATAGATAATATCAACGAGAACTTTAATGAAGATCCCTAATCGTGGATCACTATGCTGTTGGTGCAAGTGGCTAAGAATCATAGTGGTAACAGTGGTGAAAGATATTGGCTAACTGCTGCCATTATGGTGAGGCGGGCAAGCCTGGGTTATGCAGGAATACATCCATTCAATTTAGGTCATTGCTCGGCCGCACTATATATGTATGTGAACAGACGTTTTTGATTGTAAGCCAATAAATAGAATTTATATACACATATATATTATATTCAAGCGTATGCATATTTTTTGTTTGTTATTTTTATGTAATGCTACTATATACTATATATATTTATACTACAATAATATTACATTACGTTACGATAACTTTTTCTACACCTTTATCCCTGCATTTAGACATTTTTCGAACAAGTAAAACTAAATAAGTGTCACGCGATTTTTGTGTGTGTGTGTGTGTTCCTGAGCGCACCGTGTTATTACGGTACCATTTTGCTTGCAATTATATAGATCTATGTGTTGCAGTTTTTATGACGTGAACTTCTATGGTCGATCAAATAGCAGTTGCCTTTCTACTGCACGCCACACATTTGCGCGTTTATCCGTAATCGATCTATCATCATTGTTGCTTCTTCGATGCCTTTTAAGATCAACTAGGCTCCTACGTTCTAGTTCACTGAAGCAACTGATCTCGGCTGACTTCTAGAATCTAGGATCATTCGGCCTTAGCTGCAGTCTGAAATCCTCTGGTACATACACGTTCATTTTCGTTTCCATCGTATATCATTATTATGTTATATATATGATTATATTAAATATTTTTAAATGAAATAAATAGGCTATTTATATGTATAATTTCGAATAAGTGGTTAATACAATTTAGTAGCACGTTATACAAACGGATTATTTATTCGTCAAAATTATGTTTTACTCTCCAGATAGCCTATATGGCGATGCGTATGCCCACCGAATATCTTCTATATATTTTCCAAAGGCGCCAATACCTATTTATTTTTCATAAACTTTGATTCATAGCATGTTTTCGAATTCCGCAGATTTTAAATTTTATCCTCGGGAGTCTCCTTATTCTCGAACTCTAAACTTTAACGGCATTCAGCATTACTCACGCGATTATCTGACACCGAAGAAGAGCATGTGTCAAACATCCTATAAGGGGATCCGGTTCAGGACCACTTCTTTAAATGGACTTTACCATCTACATTTTCTTAGTGTAAATACCTAACGTAGTTTACTCAAATAACGTCTCTATTCGTATCGCCTACGCTGCCTCACATCCCTCCTTGCCAGCCACATAAGCAGGATTGCCGAGGACTGGAGAGTAGTTTTTTTTGTTGTGTACGAGGCGGTACGCGGCACCATGTTCCTATCAGGCAGTACAGCCCATGATACGCGACCAAGGACCGGTAAGGTATTATCGTTCTGAACCTATTGATTCAACCTAAGCTCTCGATCCTTGGCTTTCTGTTTGCCAACTCTCCCTTTTGAACAAAAACTTGTATCGGCCGCTGTTCGAAAAATCATCGTACCCGCCAAGATCTAGTGCCTCAGTTTTGAAGGGCGATACCTCAGACCTGGCAAGCTTTATTCTATTGTAATACTTATAATAAATGAAAACCGAACGCTTAAGTGCAGAGAATTTGACGAAGTCATTTTGAACAGCGTCGCCGCTGGCTTTGTTGCTAGGGTTGTTTTAATCGTTGTGTATTAGCCTGGTTGCGGCCCGGGCTAACCGACGCGAAGGCGGATAGACGAACCTGGAGGAAAAGGCTGATACAGGAATAAATGGTGATATTTTCTCTGTTATCACCGTCTCCTTCTCATTGCATTGGTCTGCGCGTTAGGAGGCTAGACTGCACTGCCTTGCAGCCTCAGTGGCAGGGTTTTTGATGAAACGGGGCGAACCGGGTCGGTTTGGATGGCTCACTCGTTAGGCAGCTCCAACGTTCATTATTTGTTTCTGGCCTGCGGTCCTAGAAGAATTTTTCTGCGTCGTCATACTGCAGCCAGCATATTTGCATCCTTTATGCAATCATCCTGCAGCGGTAACATTATCACAAAGGTCGACTTATGGTTGATTGGGCAGCATATCTATTAGCGAGGAAACGAGCTGACGGTGAAATCCAGCGGGAGATGACGCTTCGGCGTGCCTCACACAGTTAGCTGCAACACCCGCTGAAGTTTTTTGTTCTGAATTCAAGATCAGCAAGGACCATGCTAATGACAAGTTCTCTTTTTCTCGTCAGTTGCCTTTTCTCTCGTCCAAACTTCAACGTAACCCTGAATGCTTCTATTGTATTATTCTTCGGCCTGCCAACCTTCTACATTCACGCCGTGGTATATGTCCCGCCGGAACAAAGGAGCATTCCGCGGAGCACTACCATGCCATCGTCAGTTTGTGCGCCCGTCTCCAGGACAGATAGGTACAGAAGGCAGGACACCGACCGTTTCGTAACCTCTCACGTTGACGAACTTGCCAGTTTAACGTAGATTTTTTTTTCATTCTCTTTCAGTTCGTTCTACCATTTGATAGAATGACCAAAAGCCCTCTTTGCTCTGTGGACCCACCTAGCTTCACCATGAGCATATCTTTGTCCTGAGCCGTCATCGTTTGCTGTTTGCACTCTAAGTCTGTGACCGTGCAGCAGAGTGAGCACTTCTGTAACTTTTATCCATGCGAAGAGTGCACACATTTTTCTTCACGCTGCAGAAGCGCGACAGCAGCTTCGCCAGCAACCCCGTTGCCGCCAACTGCCTTGCCCTCTCTTTATTGGGTTATTCCCGGTCTCGCCGCACGCCGCAGCAGCACTACTTTCGCCGTCGCCGCTGCCGCCGCCGCTGCCGCCGCCGCCGCTGCTGCCGCTACTGCCACCGCTGGGGACCGTCGACGACGCGTGTCGCTCTTCTACTCACTCAAACTCGACCCGTCACGGTACGTTCTGTGCTGGTAATGCACGGTGCGACGTTGTTTTACTCCTATATATCCTCTTCGGCTAGTTTCTTTAGCTGATTGCATTCCTAGTGGCAGTCGTTTGTAGAAACGCTGCTCAGCGAAAAGGGCTGAGCGAAAAGCGTAGCCAGATAACAAAAAGCCACGATGCTGTGTTACTGTGACACGGCGTGAGTGCGGCCACCAGCCTAATGAACCTGTTTTATTCTCTCTTTTTGTCATCCCTTTCGCCTTTCTCCCACTCTTTCCCTTTTTTTCTTTCTTGCTGCTACTCTTCGTTTAAACTCTGCGTGTGTGTAAGCACAGCCCCGATCCGATGCGGGCCGTTCGGAGAGATCCTGGCGAGTCAGCTTCAGCTGGCCTGGTAACTAAACGAACAAAAAACAAGGCGCAACGCCAGCGAGCCAAAAGCGTTTTTTTTTTTTGTTTTATGCCAAGTGCTTAAGTTGTTAGTTTCCTGGTTTCCACGACGAAACATAGTGTGTCTACTGGCGGATTCAAACCTCGACCAGCACGTGCCCCTGAGTTTAGTAAGCAAACACATCAACCGCTGCGCGATGACCAGGACAACAATGAACACAGCCAGTCCTTAAACGTCAACGGAACACATGAGGGAGGATGGGAGAGCGAGGGGGCGGCGATGAAGCCGCTAAAGGGCGAGGACGCGCCAAGACCAACTCGTAACAGAGAAAAACAGAGAAACAGGGATAAACCACGAGAGCGAGAGACAGGAACGGAGGAGTAGGAATGCTTGGACGTCTGCTGGCTCCGTTGCGGCCTCCGAGCATACGGTGCTGATTGCGCTAAACTAAACGGAATCTGCCGCACTACGTGTGGCTATCCGGAAGCTTCGCTAGAACTGGTCAGCCAAAGGCTGAAGCCGATAAAGCGACACACAGAACGGTCGCAGCGGCCATTTGCCATTGCTGCGCGCCGATCGTAACTCCCCATCCAGTAACAACAACAGCAGCTGCTAACAAAGAATCTCCAATATGGTCCTGCTCTACTCGCGGCTTCAACTGTGCTCTGCTGTACTACCGATCGCCCGACCACTTGCTCGCCTGCCTATCTGTGCCTGCATTGTAGCTGCGGCAACGACGAAGACGACGACGAAAAATAAGAGGAGGAGGAGGAAGAGGAGGAGGAGGAGGAGGAGGAGGAGGAGGAGGACGACGACGACGACGATTGAGAAGTAGCAGCGGCGGCCGCCACCAGCGCCGTTGTTACCCGCTGCCTCGGCCGCTGCCCGCTGCCGATCGCCATCGCCACCACCGGCGAATGAACTAAGTGAGGACTGGCCGAACCTTTATCGGGTGGCTGTTGGGTGAGGAGAGCTTCGCCTCGTCTCTGCCCTGACTAACGCGGTTGGCTGCTCTGCCCTATTGCGCCTGGTGCTTCCGCCGGGAGGAGCGACCGAAGAACAAGCAGCAGCAGCAGCAGTGGGGTGGGTGTGCCTATGCTATGATCGACGGCTGTACTAGTATTATTATGGCTTCCAACATGAGCAGTGGTTTGGCACCATTCGCATGATACTGGATATTGAATCTCGCGGGCGGCTGGTGAGCGAGTAGAAAAGTGGTGCGGCCAACAGGATTTTCAGTTCATCGTCGTCGTTGTCGTCGTCATCAGGTACATCGAAAACGACGACAAGTGACGGCGCTGACGATATTGAAGAAGACGAGAACGACAAAGGAAGCGGCGTTCATTGCGTTTGTGGCGGCTGAGGACGGCTTGTGGCAGCGACAGACAGAACGACAAGGTGCTATTCGTTGTGTATGTAATTATTGTAGTTGTGACTGCGTTTTCCTGTTAAACCGTATTGAGGCGTATTTGATGTTTTCTGAACTCTACTCAATTTACGCTGTGTCCCGCAACTGCTATTAGCGCAACGGTTGCTGCTGCTGCTGCTGCTGCTGTCGTTACACCCAAAGCGGTAGTTGATCAGAGATCAGAGCAGATGAACCCGACTCAGCCTCAATACAAAGGCAGGACAAAGTACAATCAGTGTGTACAACACTCATGGTCACTCGATCCGACGAGACTGCAATCACAGCAGTAATAGCAAAGGCCGTTTGTCTCAGAGCAGTGAACAGAATACAGTGATAAGAATTCGATTGTGCAGATCGGCACGGACGGTTGGATTGGCAATATAAAGGCAAGTGCTCACTGGGACAAAGCACCGACGCATTGTCAAGTTAAAAAATCTCGACCGACCGACCGACGTTCACTGACCGCCGTGTCACTCTCCGTCGAAGGCGTAGATACAGCCGGGAACATCGTAGCATTGACCAAGGTGATAACAGTGTGTCTGAGGAGCAATACTGACTGGAAAATGAATATGAACGTAGTGAGGTAGAAGCACGACCTAGTGAGCTTGTCCGAAAGCGGTCAACGTGAGTGGGACAGTGGAGTTTGAAGGAAGAGGAGATACTCAGGCGGTGACGCCGTCTCCAGGTCTCGTTCCGCCTGGTTGTGTACCTTTTTCGTGAAATCATTATTAAAGGGTGCAGGGTAAATCGTTATTAGTCAGTTACAGGCACGTGAGTAAATTTTTGTCGTTTTTGCGGTCAATAGACTCTGATCGAATTCGCCACTCGATAAAACTCCTTTTTGTACTGATTGCCCTTGGCTCGAATAGTGATAGCGTGGCTTCGGCAATAAAACACCTCCCTCGACCTGTCTTTTTTATCTAGTGTGTAAAAGACCACCTTCTCCGTATAGCGTGCTTTAGGGCAGTCATACGCATTGCCACTACCGCAGTCATTTCCGTTGCCCCGTTTTCGTTCACGAGAGTTCAGAAGTGGACTTAGTCCTTGGCCGCCCCTGATCTTGGGACATCGACGAGGGCGTCGTTTGTCGTGCACCACTAAACATCCAGCGACAGCAGCAGCAGCAGCAGCAGTAGTAGTAGCCAAGGCAAACGAGCAAATGTGCCCTGTGAGCGACTATCTGTCGTACGGTGTGCATCAGTGCGATACCTCGAAGGAAACCAAGGCACCGCTCCACTAAGGAGAACGCAACAGCATCGGCGGGGTAGCCCCACGGGTAGCTGAAGGGGCACCGCCACTTGGATTGACGGACGGACAAACAAACAAATAAGTATCTTATTCGTTTCTGTCACTTGAGGATGTATATAGTGAATCCGCGAAACGAGTAAAGGCTGAGCTCAAGAGCTCGTCGATCTACACCGGATAGCCTGAAGCTTGTTTTCTGGTAAGTGCAGTCATTGAATAAGGCTAATAGAAGGAAGAAACTTCGTAGAATCAACTGTACAGCCAGAACATGTGGCCGCCGAACGCCATAGAAAATAATAACACTGGCAGTGTCCATCTGCGCGAGGGGTAGGTCGTGTTTGTGCGGTAACAAAAAGTAGCAGACACAAAACCAAAGCCGAGCGGGCGATAACCGCTTAGTTAAGTAGCTTGCGAACCGTGCACAATATATTGCCATAAGCGAGGCCGCCATTCATGTGACCCAATGACGGAGTAACGGAGCTGTAGCCACGCCGTTTCAGTCGCAAGGCCCCTTCCACCAACTGCACAGGATGTTTCCTGCGTATGCAGTATGTGGTAATACGTGAATCAACTTTGATTACATTAGTAACGGAAGTGATACTGGGCAACCGAGTGAAAATGGGGATATGTTGTCAATATATAACAGCATAAAATAGAGGTGTCTGAAACTGGGTACTGCTAAAAGTAAAGTGGTACAATGACTAAGCATTTGACGATTATTTCATTTCGGTGCTTCTGGCGAAGAAAAAAGCTGGGGTTCCGGGCTTATAATCACGAGTCTGAGCCCCGGCGTGCAAACTCAGCGATCCTTTGAAACTATTTGAGTTTATAATTCAAGCCCATGGCACAGTTACGTTTGACTAATTTGAGTATCAATGAAAGTATTCCCCTTCCTTACTAAAAAGCAAAAAACTTGAATATTGTTGCAGTCTCTGCTCATAATATGTTAAAAATTCATCTATGCCATATCGTTGGTATTAGTGCCTACTGCAGAAATATCGGTACTAAGCAGTTTCAGTTCTTACAAAAATTAAAGCTTATCATTTTTGTCGTCGGGGAACATCTGGGACTCAAACGGAATTATACTTTCACGTATTCGGGCGTTTGGAAGTTAGCCCGATACACGTCGGCTTCTTGTCACTGCCGGAGAATTAGTCCTTACTTGTAAGAATCAAACCCTTGTCGTTATTACGGAATAATCCTAGTGCTGCAGTGGCAGCAGCAGTCATTAAAGATGCAAGTTTTACGATTCTTCTGGCTACAGATTCCCTTCGTTCTAATATTTGTGTTTGTTCAAACGATAAAGTACTGATGATAGCAGGACCTTACTGGCAAAACTCCACCATCCACGAAGTCCATCACGTAATGGGACACGGCATACATTCGTCAATAACGTTCAGAAGCAAACTATTTTGGCATGCCGTTGTTAGTCTCGGCTTGCGTGGTCGCCTGTGTAGCTGGCGGTCGATTGATAAGCAGTTGCTGTTGTTTGTCGTTGGTAGGACGCCTCTGCTACTGGTCGGAGTAGTACACACAGAGCATTGATTAGCGTCGCACGACCACTGGCGTAGAGGAAAAGTTAGGATTGCCGGACCACGGGAGGCCTGGCGGACCCGCCGACCGACGAAGCAAATGATCCAGGGAGGCGAGATTGCCTCCGCTCCTCTTTCGAAAATGGCGGAGGCACCATCCGACCCGCGAGTGTAGAAATAGCAGCGATCCATGCGCCATGCCCGAGCCGCCGTCGGCCTACGACCGGCATGTGGCTGAAAGCGGAGAGCTGGGAACCGTGCGAAGGGGGTGGCGGATGGCAGACCTGGCAGAGTTTACTAGGTTCATTGCCTGCCAGGTCGTTGGCGCCCGTCCCCACTTGAACGAAGTTACACGTAGGAAGGAACGAATGTCACAAATATTCCCATTTCTAGAGTATAACCGTGGGGAAGTACACTGTTGTTGTATTGAATCGCAGTTCAAATCAGAGCGATTGTATTTTGAAAAAAAAAGGACATTGGTCTATCTTCTTCCAACTACCGTTTAGCAGTAACTAACATAAGGGAAGCCGGAATCCGTAGTGGAGCCCCCCAGCAATGACAGGTACCTAACGAAGTACCTAATATTTACGACTATAGTACATACATATGTGTGTCATTTCATGATAATCGACTATTAAAAGTATTAAAAATATATTGTTCACCGATTTCCTAAACTAAAATTTCTTCAATGAAGCTTTGAATCAAGGTTCACCTTTGTACTGCAAAAAAGAAGAAGATAGGTTAAATCCTTGTACACATACCCGATGTGTATGATCGAAACCGTAACATTGAAATCTTTATTGAGAGAACGCTGAATATATAATAAGCTATATCAGAGCGAAATGTTTAATCTCAACTATATCAAAGCGATCTTCATTTTTGACCACACTTAACAAAACAGAACCGAATACTAGTCGAAGATAAATTTTATGAAGACGTAATCATGTTATTTTTGTTTTTTTTCCAATCTGATTTAACTGGCGAATATTAACCAATCCAATTTTTTATCAAGAAGCCTGATCACTTCAGCGATTTATTTGGACCGGCCATTGCAAAATAAAAATCCGCCTTAAATTTACGCAGTTCACGTACCGGATAAGTGATCATTGTTAGATAGCCATTTCATATCGCCTAGAGAAAATGGTCTCACATGTTCATTGCTCCTTAACCTCCCACACATACCTTTATTCCGGACACAAACTAAATAACCAAATAAATAAACCCCCATATTGCTTGCGAGTACATATAAAGCGCTGGAAGCCGTGAAGTAGCGGCCCCTCCGCGCAATCCGCTGCAATGTTGACGGCCTTCTAGTTGGCAGGGGCCAAAACAGCATGCCACTTTCTATCATAATTGTACGGCAAATGTACATAGGTGTTTTTTTTGCATTAAACATCTTGTTGAAAACGGACGCATACATTACGTTAGAAGTAGCAAGCAAAGCATAACATCGATTCGTTAGAACGATCTGTCGCTGCTGACAGCTCTAGCAACACAGAGAACGTACGCTCAAAAAGAAGGACAACATTGACAAAAGAAGAACACGCCAACCATTCCGGTCTGGTGCCACTGCCATCAGCGTTGCGTTAATAAGAAAATTAGTCCCACTTTGAAAAAGAGCTTTTCTCTGAGCGGCAGAAAATTCTGAAGCAGGACACTGCGCTTTGGCCTTGCCTCTAACCAGACAGTCATTCAAATAGCCGATCTAACGGCCAAGGTATTATCGAGTCATTGCACAGCACCAACGTAACGGCTTTTATCTTCTCTTTGTTAGGTAACTACTGTATAAACATGACAATGACGTTTCTATATCTCTGTCGGTACAATGTCTGCATACGAAGTAGAATGAACCGATAGTAACAACTGTGGTGGGGTATAATTGATGAACACATATTTGTCCAATCTGTTTGTGGTTGATCTACGTGTACTTGGATAGTGAGATGTGTTCGATGAGGATGAAGTTCTTTTTACTTTTCTCGGTGGAACCTACGTTGGATTGGCGATGCTTTCCTTAAAGTTAGAAGAAGCACACAGATCAATTTACGTAGCGTCTGCCTTCAAGGGTATTTGTTTGTCGTAAAATTACATAGTAGCGTATATGTTCGGCGCAACCATTACTGGGTAACCTTGCATATGAGCGTATGTTCCATTCCATAGTTACTTGAGACGTACATTCTACATGGTAAAGATTACACTCCAATGTCATCAGGGGCTATAAAAAAACATATCTCAATTATAAGACAAACGGGCGGGCACAAGCCGATAGCGACGCGGGATATCGGACGCATTTACGACATGCGCTAGAAGGCGCCTCTCGTGTTTTTAGCTGACCACGAGTGATTCAAGCTTTCAGAGATATCGGCGGGGGTGCTTATGGAGGGGCCCCTCCATTTTGAGGCGACATGCGTTGGAAGCTGCATCTGCATCACGGCGGCAGACAGCCTCCTCGAGATACTTTCTACATTTGTGCATACGTATTCATCAGAGGCGCTATTGAAAAAAGTGTGATACACGTGTTAACGACAACGCCGATGACGACGGTGATGACAATGCAGTTAACTGAGATGAGCGAAAGCAAAAACTAGTAAAAGTTTGAAGATTCATTTGTAAATTTATTTATTTATATTTAAAAAAAACAGATAGCTTTGCTGCTAAGTTATCCCAATTGTCGTGCATCCATAGTCTAACAGCAGGCAGTGTCAAGCGCCGTTTGTTGCGAACGAGTCATTGTCGTGATCAACAATACGATACTTTGACGCTCCATCGTCGAGGCCAATCGCTCCCGCTCATAATCACTATTTATACTCGTCTCTGGGATCAGCCGTGTACAAGTTAAGGTTGTGCTGCGTTTCGAGTATTGGCTACTGACGATGAGGTCTGAACGGGGGCGGAAAACGTTGACACTATTCGATGGTATCGTTATTTTTAGCCACAACCGTTCTGGGCCGATACGGATAATCGAGCCATGAACGCGCTGACCGCTTGCTTCTGTTACGCCTAAAGGTGGTTAAGATTTGCTTTTCTGTTTGCTCGTATATCCGTTCAACTGTAGAAAGGTCGCTGAAAGTTTAATTGACTACTGTTACGCCTTAGTGCTGATTTCAAGATTTCAGGAGTGGCCTGACCGTCTGCACATCGATACGGCGCTCTTATCGAGAGAAATGCCATGGAGTAAACAGAACTATAAATAATTAGGTTTGTACCGACGCCAACTCAGGTTTCTGTGCATAGTTATAGGCGAGTGAATACTGACATTCTGTGTTATTTGGCTGATCTCAACTGATACACATACATACGCGGACAGTGTATACGTAGATAAGAGATGCATGTGACATGTAGCTGAGGTCATGCAATTGTTTTACAATTTTAACATTATGATGAATAGTCTTGCGCCCTAAAAAGGGTTCTTTCTAGTTCTGCGTATACCAATTTTCTGAATATAATAAAAGAAAATTATCTATGTGATGCTTCGGAAGCATATGGCAGAAAGCATATGGCTATGTAGTGCGACTTACACTATAGGTTTTTTCTTTACAACAAAGCTTCGACCCTTCTAGTTTTCTGATTTTCTCACATCTTGCCCCAGCTTTACGTAACAATGAGGAACGGATTGTAGCTAAGGGTCTTCATCAATAACTCCGTTTCCCAACGCGTCCATGGGAAAACT